GGCTTTCCATAATAAATACACATCTCTATACATTTGAACTCCTAGGTCTCAATAATATCAACAGCAACATGAGGGAACTTAGTAGAATGCAAATATCTGCTTTGCAAATAACAGCATGCTCACCTCTAGCAAAATGTTATTAAAATTTCAAATGTGTTTATTTCAAACCATCTAAGAATAATTGACATTCCTATAAGTTACATGTCAGTCTGGATATCATTTAATTTGGGGTCTCAATTATAAGTGTTGCCCAAAGAGCACTTTATTTATTTTTTAATGAGAGGGAGTAACGGAAGGAACATTAGTTACATAAGTATATGTATATGTGACTCATTCAGACATTATGAGTCAGTTTCCTCTACATTTTTTCCTTCTCTGACTTCATGTAGGATCTTTATGGTAGTGTCCAGAAAGGCTAATCCTCATGGCTCTGGTTTTCAAGTTCCCAGATGAGACTTAAACTATGCACAAGGGATTCATTCCTGTAAGTGGTTTCCTGAATTGGATGAGAGGAGGGGGGCTGCTTAGCCAGAGGTGCTTATTTTTCTGATCTGGGTCCTGGCCAAGTAGTACAGTCCTGTGGATGCAACATCATGATTCACCAGCTTTATGTGACAAAGGATTTTTCTGATAATAGAAACACAGAAGATGAGATAGGGGAATGACTCTCTTGAATATGAAACAGACTTGATGGCAGCACAAGTATGAAGGAATGAATGGACTATCTCCTGTGCTTCTCAACTTTCAAGCTGACCAAGAGTTTCTATGTGGTGTTTACATATCCTTATCTCACTATATATTTCATCACCCTTTGCTTCTAGCTTTCCAAGAGTATGTGATGCTTCAGCGCTGTTACCTAAAGCTTCATTCTGAAGTTTGATGAATGAAGGTTCTCTTAACATTTGCCAGTAGAAATGACAGTAAATGGGAACATTCCTGAAGTTCCCTAAGTTCCACAAATTTTCTACTTCCACTCTAAATTATACAGAAGCAATCCTAGTTCTCTTGATTACCAGAATCTATAATCCCAACCAACACTGTAACATTCTTTGTTGACAATTTATCCTCTACCATATGTGACACAGTGGTCACACAGTTGTCATTTCTTTCAGCTTATTGGAACAACTATCATATCAACCATTTGAATTAAGAACTGTCAGTTAGAAAGCCACAGACTTTGGTGAATAGAAAGTGAAATTCATAATCTTCTCAGTAGACATAATAAATAGTGACAAGTTCAGCTCTCATTTCTCAGGTACAAATATTCTGCTTATGGGAGTAAAGCCTCACATGTGTTCATGTTTCAGAGCCTCCACTATATCTGGTAAGACATGGATTTGACATGGCAAGAGTTCGTGTTCCAGGTTTGCATGACTAAGAAAGGAGTTTTCTCTTTAAAAGGACAGCTTCAAATGCATACATTGTAATATCATGAGCTTTTTTTGATTTTGCTATAATTAAGCAAAAACTTGCTTCTTGCACTATAATTAAGTTACTTTGCTCAATGCTATATTATGTAAGAATTTATTGAGTCTGATTAAATTATTCAGCAAAACCTTATGTGATGAATCTGGCAGAAGCAAACCTCACAGGACAAACACATATACAGGAAAACAACAAATACTGTTCATGTTTGGGTGAGGTCCACTATAACTGCTTGGCACCAGTTGTTATTTTGATGTCTGATCTATCGTACATTCTTAAGGGCTCAAGAAAGATCACTATTTGCAGTTTAGCTGAAAGTTAAGAAGTGACAGTAGGCATGTTATACTTGTTAGATAAATTTATAGTTGTGAGCCCATGCATGAACTTCCAAGACATCGGTTGATGAGAGTCCCTGGGAAAGCTGGGAAAGGCAACTACTAATATGTTGAACGATGTTAATTTTTAAGTGTCTCTGCTATGTCATGGCATTTAAATGAGTATTTTCTTGCGAAGCATTTATTTTTTATTTTTATTTTTATCTTGACCAATTTTCAAATATTTGGTCATAGCTCTTCTAAACAACTTTGTCTCCAATCCTTCAATGTGTTTCCTTTGAGACTTGATAATCTGTGGAAAACAATAGTCAATGTTATTGACATGATGATATCCCTTTGCAAAGTGACCAGTGATATCACTGGAATTTATACATTATTGCTATTTCCAGTCTCCCAGTGGTTCCTTGACAATGACAGTGATATGGTCCAGCATCGTTCTGAGAACTCCATCAAGCACAGCACATTGTGTACATACATCTAATGGGAAATTCCATAGTAAGAAGTAATTTTTTAGTATTATAAAAAGTTATTTGCATTCGTACTCTTTACAACTCCATTGAGTTAAAAAATTATGTTAAGTTGTGCACACTAAGGCGAAGATTTTTAAAACAAAGATTGGCTGGGTTTGGGAGCTAATGCCTATAATCCCAACACTTTAGGAGGCCAAGGTGAGAGGATTGCCTAAACCCACAGTTTGAGACCAGCCTAGGAAATTTGGCAGAGCTCATTTCTATAATAAATCATCAAAATATAGCCGGTGTGGTAGTGCATGCCTCTAGTTCCAGCTACTTGGAAGGCTTAGGCTGGAGGATAACCTGAGCCCAGCAGGTTGAGGCTGCGGTGTCTGTGAGCATGCTACTACACTCCAGCCTGGGCAACAGAGTGAGACTTCAACTCAAAAACAAACAAACAAAACAACAACAACAACAAAAACAAAGATTACAATGAAATCCAATAGCCAGTGAAGGTATTTTGTATCTAATCCAGGAAAGGTACTTTTTAATAGAGAGTAACTATAATCATTTTAATAGGTTTTATTTATATAATGATTGTATTAATATGCATGTGTTGTTTTATATATGTAATCATAATTAAATGTCTTGATTTACACATTAATATGTGAAAAAGTATTCACAGTCAACAACTTGTACATTAACTATACATGCACTTATATTTAAGTGAAATACACTTGACATGAACATATTCCATAAATAAGATACATTTCAGTGCTTTATTGATGTATTATTCAGGTTTTATTTTCTGTAAAATATCGTCTCAGTGTTTTTATACATAGACCAATAAATATTCAAATATGCCATTGATTTTAATAAAATGCATCTATCTATAAAGGTGTGTAAATAGTATATTCATAAAGATTGGTGATCAATCCTTTAAACCTCAGTACATTAGTAAGATAAATATTTATTTTCATGTTCATAAGTGTTTTTGTTAATTATCTGGCTTATCCTGTATTGTTCAAATGAGTGGCTGTGCTGCAGGACACTGAGCTTCTCTCCAGTCTATGGTCTGCCTTTATCAGAGGACAAGGTTGAAGGACTATGACTACCCAGGCACCACATTTTAATGTCAGATTGCAGGAGTGAACAACCTCTCCAAAGCAAGATAAGTGGTGAAACCTCTCCAAAGAAAGCTATGTGTGAATTTAAGTCAGAAATGTCTGAAACAGGTCATATACTTTTAATTTTTCTGTACCTTGGTAGGTATTAAAGTTTCTAAAAATCTTTTGCACTATTTACACATCAAATCACTGATGAACAGATAGTTATATTTATCCACCTTTACAATCTTCACAGTGTTTGTAAATGTAATGTTGCATTGACTAGATAATAAATCTGGGTGTATTTTGAACATATGGCTTTCTTTTTTTTTAAGTTTATTGTAGAGACGAGGTCTCCCCATGTTGCCCAGGTGTCTCAAACCCGTGGGCTCAGGCAATCCACTCGCCTCAGCCTCCCAATGTGCTGGGATTACAGGCTGAGCCACTGAACCCAACCTGAACATATGGTTTTCATTTGGAATTTTCTTTCAATGGCCTCCTTCAGAAAAAATAAATCTCTCTAGCAGAACAAAAACAATATCTAAAACATACTTTCTTAAACTTTCTGTCGCCTGTTACCTTGTTAAATGAAGATTCTCATTCAGTAAATGGAACGTAGGTTTGCTATTTAGCTCATGTACCATCATAAATTGATGATGCTGCTGGATTATGCATAAATTTAGGTTACAAAGACCTTTCATATTAAAGAAAAATGTTAGAGTTTCCTGTTGTTGTCTTGTTTCTTGACAAGAAAGATTTTTCATTTGATTGTCAAATGATATATGTTTCATAGGATTTATTAATTTTGTTCAACTATGACTAAGTGAAGCTTCCTTGCTGCCATCCAGACTTGATGGTAATCCTTACAAGCACATTCAAGTGTTTCACAAGGTCATTTCTAACTTGCAAATTGGTGTAAATGCTGACCACATTGAACTGTCTGCAGTTAATTCCCCATTATCACTATCACTTCTGTAAACACCTTTTTCCAAACCCATTTAACCTCTCTGGTTTTCTGGAGAGTCATTCAATGAGTGGCCTCCCATAAGACTTGAAAGTCAAGAGAATGATTCAATGCTCATTGATACCTGCAGACAGACATGTGGACTGAGGTGAGGGCTGGAGAGTTACCTGGAGTGGTGCTGCATCAGATGAGAGCATCAACATCCCCATCTCTGGCTTCCCAGACAGGTCTGAGGACCACGTGGTTAGACTTTGTATACCTTCAGAGGCAGTTGTACTCTGTCTTCTGAAAGATCAGAGAATCCCCTGCCTCTAGTATCTGCTTCCCTGAATGATATACCCAAGGCCTTTGAAAACTGTGGTTTAAATTATAATTATCTGAATGGACAGAGTACCCAATAGGGGAAAAAAAACCTAGAGAGGTTTCCCATTTGCTCTATAAATATCAATTCCCTTAATACAGACTCTTCAAATGGATTGACCTTTTTTTCTTTATGAAATCAGCGGGGACAATGTCATGTCTGTCCTGTTTTTAGTGGATGAATAGTAAAGAAAGAGGATTCTACGGAGCCTTCATGAACCCCTCTTTCAAAATCTATCAATGGCATTCAAAACCTGGCTGAGTCTGAGAAACACTCTAAACAGATAGATACCTCTCAGAATACAGAAGCAGCTGGGACAGCTCCGTCTCACATATCTGCTTCCCTGGGTGGTTTTTGTTATAACTTGTAGCACTGTGGGAGGAATATACTGTCATACTGTAGACAGTAATAAGTTGCAACATCTTCAGGCTGCAGACTGCTGACAGTGAGAGTGAAGCCTGTCCCAGATCCACTTCCACTAAACCCTCATGGGACCCCAGACTGTAAACTGGAAGCCTTATAGATCACAAGCTTAGTGGGTTTCCCTGGTTTCTGCTGATTCCAGGCTAACCAACTGCTAATGATCTGACTTGCCTGGCAAGTAATGGTGACACTGTCTCCTAGAGATGCAGACAGGTAGGATGGAGACTGGATCATCCGGATATCACAACTGGCACCTAAGATTGGAAACAGAAAACAAATATAAACACAATTAATCAAGTTACAAGAGGATTTTCCCACTGGCCAGGCAGTACTTCCATACTGGCTGAGTCAATTCTTAGTGTTCTTCCTTACCTGGAAGCCAGAGCAGCAGGAACACCAGAAGCTGTGTGGGGGCCTCATGTTCATGCTGTGTCCTTCCTGGGACTGACTCCTTCACGGGCTCTGACCAGCCCATTAATAAGTCTTTAGGGCAGGGTGCTGTGCACTCTGGAACATGCAAATCAGCAGTGCATGGGGCAAGCTGGCCACCGCTGCAGGACTGACTCTTCTCAGTAACTCAGTACAGGTGCATAGTCCCCGTGTGTCCCTGTTCAGAGCAGGGCAACAAAGATTTGCTTGCAGAGAATATTTTTCTACTTAGAAGACCAATTGTCACAAATATCATTAGAGGACAATTTCCAAAGTATAAAATGCACCGAATGATAAATATAATAACGTATTTTTTAGTTGTATTGGGATTGCATAGGGGAGTTTGCAGGAAATGCACAATTACTCCTTAGTGAGTTCTGGCAGGTTTTCTAGTTACTCTGAAATGGATCATGTGAGGGTAAAAATCCTTTATGCTGTACTATTCACACTACTGTGAATGAGAAACTTATTTTTTAAATGGAGAAACAAACTACTCAGAAGCATATATATTATATTCAAAAGTTGTCAGTAATGACTTTAAACCTTTGTTATCAGTATAAGGTCAAGCAATCTAATGAAGATGCACAATGATGATACATTTTTTTTAATGTGTGTCACTCACAGATCCATCATTATCCAGAGTTATAGTTTCCTGTGTAACCAAGGAATACATGGGTTGCACCTTATTCTTTATTTGGAGACCCCATTGTCTGTCCCCTATTTTTTCAATTGGGTATTATTTTTCACAGTTCATCAGCTGGAAGGGCTCACTAGTAATGCTAGATCAACTCAACAGATATCTGTTTCTTCCTTGAGCTTGAAATGGGATGAACTTAAAATTCTGAACCAATTTTGTCCCTAGTGATCAATTGTCTCTAAAGAATGAAGACCAAGGTCACATCACCTGGGTAATGCTTTGAGATGTACTCCCCTCCAACAAGTTCCTGGAACTTCAGGCTTAGCTCCCATGGAGCAGGTGAGGGATAAACATGGGAGAAAGGCCCCATCAGTGTACCCTCTCTCCTAAGCACCGGCCACTGCTTCTCAGTTCATGTCTCTGGTGTGCACCCTTAAGTCCACTTTCCTCTTTTACTCTTTAGCAGTGCGTAAGGACATTATTCTAACTCCTATTCCATCTTCCCTGTCTGCATCTTGAGGAGAGGAAATCTCTACTCCTGACAAGTCATTACCCAGGTATGTGGAGAAATCTCTTGAATCCAGACAAAACGTGGCCACAGATTTAGACCTCTATACTTCACATCTCTGCCTTTTCCCTGGGAATCCCAGGCTGGTATAGAGGCAGGGGAAGTAGAAGCAACTTCATCAGCTTCAGTGGATTGCTGCCCCGGGGTCTCTAGAGAGAATTGCAAATGCGCAACTCTGGGTGACCAGACCATAGGAGTACAGCCCATTCACAAAACTCCTCTGGTCATTATGAGCCTGAATTTTAAAGGTATTTGCTTGGACTTTGCCTTTCAGGATCCAATTCTAGAAAGAGACAACTCCAGGTTGACATTGCACACTTTTTATTTTCTCTATGGATCAAACCATTCGGTTTAGACCCCCTATCTAAACCCCTTCGCTGCACTTTTCCTGGTTTCCTCTGG